TCATATCCAAACGAATTGAAAATTTAAAAATTTTCCGGGTGGAAAATTATACCAATCATACACACTTGAAATCATTTTCCCTACATTTTATTTTCTAGGCAAATCTTTTCCTTGTAAAACATTTTCTTTCCACCCATTTTCTACCATTGCAATCAAACGCACCCTTATTTGTCAAACACCGATAATTTCTGTTTCCGCTGGTTAGGAGCATTCACAGAGAAATCCATTATGTTACTTTAGCATGAAGTATTTTATTCCATACAGTTTGTTTTTGAACATGTTAGATGTGAAGGATGTGAAATATGTCATCAACTATGACTTCCCGGGATCTCTCGAGGATTATGTTCATCGTATCAGTCGAACAAGAAGGGCTAGTGCCAAAGGAACGGCATACACTTTTTTCACGGTTGCAAATGCCCGATTTGCAAAGGAACTCATTAGCATCCTCGAGGAGGCTGGACAGAAGGTTAGTCTGGAGCTTGCAGCTATGGGACGTGGTGTACCTCCGCCTCCAGGTGAGTCTTACACACGTACATACTTTCTTTTCTCTTTCTGTGAGAACATGTTTGGAAAAAATAAATAAGCTAATACGTAAGCGTTACTATAAATAATTTTTTAATTGGTTGATGATGAATATAATTTTTTCTTATGACCGTATCACTTAAGAAAAAGTTGCTTAAAAGTGACTCAAGTCCGATTCCAATAGTTTCTTCCTGCATCATTAATAGGTCAAGGGAGTTTCCGAGATCATGGGAGAGGTTTTGGCAGTGGGCGTTCTTGGAACTGATATAGTGCTTGATGGAAGAAAAATTGGAAAGCTTCAACAATATCTCGGTACTCGTAAGCTTGGAGATTTGATCTTCTTAGGAGGCCCTGCGCAAAATAATATTGTAATTTTACTTGTCTTCCATGTGTAATATTTGTGAGGACTAATTTGAATAGAAAGTAGAATATGAACACATTTTAAGTTCAAATTAATGTTTATTAATTTAATAGACATTCATGTAACACTGTATTTGTGCCTTGCTCGAAGTATAAGTCTCCCTCTTTGTCGAGTGAGCTTACTTAGCCCAATTTAGTTATAATTATATTTTTAGTAGATTTTGATAAAAAATGATGAAATATGTGATTGAAAAGTTGATAAAAGTTCTGGATTTTATGAAATGTGTGATTGAAAATGAGTTCGAGAAAAAATGAGTTTTATAGAACGGGTGCTAAACAAGGGCTTAAATTACCCGAGCAGAAAGGCGAGCAAATGCTTTCACTCTTTGTTTGGATGAAAGTGACATTCCATCTAGAAGTAGATGGGATTACGAGAAAAAGAAACTTACTTTTTAATTTTTTAATCTCGTCTAGGGCCTTGCAATTTCTTTTTTTCGATGAAATAAGCCAAGTGAGGTGAACTTGTTCCTTATTCTATGGTTTCACTTCCCATATATTTTTGGATCATGCTGTGTGTACTGAATGTTTTGATCGAATCTTTTATCTACTAATCACAATAAAAATGTAGACCACATTATAGGAATTTTTAAATACATGCAGGTCTCGCGCATTATGCGAGGGAGGTAATCCATTACCTACAAACCAATACAAATGGATTAACCCTATATTTTTTTTTACCACCATATGGCTTATTAGTCGGACTTTCAGAAGAAAACCATAAGCTTATTTGCCAGATGCCCAAGGCTATGCACCAAATCATAGTCCAGCAAAGGAGACCAATGGGGCAATGATCGAGGAAATGCGTCCGGTTGATACGACGTCGTAACGGATTGCTGGTTGCTCCCACCGAAAGACCCTATGAAATGAAAAAAAAAAAACTTCGCATTGATGGATTCATCCGAAA